GTGATTTTCTGCAATAATTTGTCACCTCTTAAATGGCTTCATTTGACTGAAAAGCTGCCTGAGCAGCCAACTGCAACTTCTGCATTGTACCCAGTTAGTAATGGCAGAAGGGGTGCTGTGTTTGTTGTTAACAAGGCTTATTTCCAAGTAAATTAAAATCTACTGACAAGCAGATATGGCTAACACTTGGCTTAACTATGTGACTCTGAAATGTAGCCTCTTAGCTGTAAATACTATTCAAGAGTAAAGCAGGATGTGTAAGTATTTTGTAACTTCATGATGTGTTTAAAGAAGACTCGTTTATTTAAATGTAATCTGTTATTCTTAACTAGCTTTTTATCAGAAATAGGTATTACTGTAAGACTTAGTGAATCGCTATGCCTGTTAGTCATGTATTACACATAGATGGTTTAGTTAGTTCCCATTTGGTAAGCACAGAGACTAAAAGAAGACAAAGACTGGAAAAGGGAAGATGGATTGCTTAAAATTTAGTGCTATAACTAGCTTTTTGTAGCAAGCACCCTAGAAGCACTGGGGAATCTCCAACCTTAGAAATATTTGGATCTTGTCTAGAAGAGCCCTGAGCAGCTTGATCAAGGACTTGAGTTAGATGCAATTTGAAAGCTGGCTCTGCTCTGAGCAGTGATGATTGAGATGATCTCCAGAGGTTCCTTCCAACCTAAATTTGTCTGTGGCTCTATGAATAAGCCTGTATACTCTATGCAGTATCTTCAGCAAAACTAAATGAGGCTTAGGGGTCATATGGATTTAGTTAATTGCCCTGCTAGCATGAAAAGAACAACACTGCATTCCAAGTGCTTTGAATGCCTGTGACCTGAATTCAGCAGCAACTTTCAACAAAGAGGTTTTGAGCTGTCTGGCAGACAGAACTATTTTCACTGTCCTTTGTAAAGAAGATGGATAATGGCCGATAAAATTGGATGAATATCCTTTGTATCTCTGTGGTTACTGCTGTGTATACAAAATTCCTTTTTTGCTACTTCTGTTTTGGAATTAAGCTGCAAACATGGTATTTCATCTGGAAAATGAGAACATCTTTAGGATTGTACAGGGGGTTAATATAATAGAGAATGATACGGTTGCAGCAATGGAGCGGTATGATGAAACAGTGCGTCAGATAATGGGAAGAGAATGTGTCCAAAATATCAAGTCCAAGAAACAGCAGTTTTTATTCAAAGTGACAGCTGTCAAATGCATAGGACATGAGGCAGTCAAACAGTGACTTCACTGTAGTGGACAAAATAGAGGGGTATGATTCACCCTACAGTTAAATAGGTTTAGCTTAAGTTCTTACACGCCCCTTAAGCATGTTCTTTTTATATCCCTCAAGATGTAAAAGAACTCCTTTTGAAAGCAACAGAAGAGTTTGTTACCAGCAGAAATCAGAGCACCAAACCAATTTCAAAGAATCCAAGTCATCATCATGGCAGTCAGGCAGTAGTGAGACCAGTGCAGGGACAGGAGGATGTGTGTCAAATGCACTCCTGTTCCCAAGAGCTAAAGAGAGGCTATGTCTTGTACTTCTCTATTACTTTTAAATAAAATGCTTTCTGAATGTCTCACAGTGGATCTTCACACACTTTGTTCCCCTTGTTTTACAGCAGTATTTTCCTTTCAATTTAGCTCTCTATAAGGCTTCAAGAGAGAAAATAACCATGTTTTTTGGAACACCTTCTTTCTTTTCTGAGGACTGTATTCATCATGAATGAGGTGTCACCATTTATGATGGCAGAAACAAAAAGGAATATAAAAAGTGGGAGGAAATATAAAAATAATGGCATCTGAAGAAATGCCTGTGAGCAGTTAGTAAACTTTTACTCAATAACTTTTCAAGGACTCTGTGATTTTCAGGACAGTTTTATTCCAGGTCCAGCTTTGAAGGACCAACACATCACTAAATCACACTAGGACCGTTGCTTGCATACACATGAAAGCTGACAGAAACATAGTGTACCTCCTACGTGATGCTCTTTCTTTCTTAGTCAATATGGACATGCTGTTGAGAATATGGAATTACATGTATGCAGTGCATACAGAGGGACATTAACTTCCTTGTGATTTTAAGTACATTGGGTAAAGTTGAAGTTTTATTTTAATTATATAAGAACATTTAGCTGGGTTAACAGTTAGAGTAGAAAATATGGATTGCTCTAGAACAGAGGGAAGGACTAAAGTTTTCCTTTAAGCTATTTCAAAGCACGGATAGATAGGAAGTATGTGAGTTAGAGCCGCAGATACAGCAGCTATGATCAGAAGTATAGGAAGTATTTTCACACACCAACTTTTTAAAGAATACTTTTAATGATGTAGTGGTTGCATGACATGTGACAGTAGGATGACAAGAAAAAGCTAATTTATAAAATACAGTCTTAAGAACATTAAGGACCAATGTCCTGCTCATAAAACAGGTATCAAAATTAATCTTTTCCTGGTAAAGCAGTTAATTCCCTTTGGAATCTTAGTTCCAACCTTTGATGAATCAGTGTTATAAGATGAGCTACCTTGACAGTGGAAAGTTTTTAGCATTACAGTTCATGATAGAAACATGATGAATTACAACAGACTTTCAGTCTTGAAATTTCATGTTCTAAAAAGGCAGTTTACTTACAATAAATTGTAAGGACAAGGCTAAATTGAGATAAAGGACTTAAGCCAAATTGCACTGTTTCACTTGACCAATCAAGATTATAATATTTTAGCATAATTATTTTTGGTGCTGTTTTTATTGATTTTTAATTTAATTTCCTAATATTTATTCCTGACCTTTCTTTTTTAATATTTTGCAATGTTTTTCTTTTTTGAGTTAAAAAAAAAAGAAGAATGAGAGGTACAGACTTTTTGTGAGAGACTTAGTGAAGGAGTATTTCTGAGAACTGCTTACTCAATTAGAACCCAAAACTTCTTAGCTGACTTTGTCAAAAGGCTGCTCTACAACCCACTTGGCCAACATGCAATATGAGACAATAGTTATATACCTGATAACTGTGGTGGTGATGTAATCAATTGAAAGAGATTGAAATTATGAAAAACCAAAATGTGGTGTCTGAATCCTGTTAAAATGTTATTGAACTGAGTAGCAAGAAAGCAGTTACGTCTTTTTTCCACTCCATTAGTAGAAAATGCTATATTCATTTTGTGTTATCAGTAAACAAGTAGTATACTTTTCTTGTGAGCTGCAAATTGAAAAGTGCAGAGCATACAGGATATGCTTCAGTGGAAGTCTGTCAGCTTATGCTAGGTGTCTAAGTTATAAACAACAAAGTAAACCATAGATGTGAAACAACTGGATGGGGTTTAATAAACAATCTTGATCTATAGCTGTGTAGATGCAAGAAAAAGGCAGTTTCCTTTATTTTTCATTTAATTCTGATTGTTTTCACTGTTCAAAGGCATGAGTAATTTTAAACTGACTCCTTTTTACTTGCAACCTGCCATGCATACTAAGGGACTTCCCACTGACAGGCAAATGGGGGAATGTTCTATTCAGAAGACATTAGAAACAGTTGTGAACACTGCGGCATTTCCCCTTCAGAAAAAATACAGTAATTTGTCTTCCAGGAATGCTTCCTAGATGCTATTCCAATGCAGAGGAGTATCAAACGTAAGTGTCATGGTGCATCTCTCTTACATGCATAAAACTATTTCTTGTGTATATGTTTATACCGTCATTCCATTCCATTTTCAGTATTTTAAAATGTGAATGCAATCTAATTCATTTCAGTCAGATTGTTTATTGCTTAAAAATAGACAGGAACTGTACCTTGTTAAATAAAGATTAATTCAATTAATAACATTTCTTAAGTTTTAGAAGGCAGTTATTAGCCAGATTTACTTAACAAAAGCAGAAATATTGAAGAGAAAGGTATTTTAAGGCTTAGTTCTATATGGTTCCTGCATGTAACGTTACTACTAGGAACAATGGATCTGTTGGGCTTCAGTGGATTTGTTCACAGTAGTATGGATGATAAACCTTTAAAAAAATATATTTGCAGCCACAGGCCCTAAGGATGTTTCTATTTTTATAGCCAGTCCTTAACGGTACTAAAGCAACCTGCTGGTTTAGTGCAGACTTCAAAAAAGGAACCTTTTTGACATGAAATTTCAGTGGTTGAAAAGGAAACACCTATTTCAAAAGCACGAAGCTGCATGAATACTTGTTATTTTTGGAATAAAGGCCTTGGCTGAATCAATGCATGCTACTGTGAAGGAAAAATAAAATAAATAAATAAAGGAATCATAGGATCATTTGGCTGGAAGGGACCTTAAAGCTCATCCAGTTCCAACACCCCTGACACAGGCAGGAGCAAGTTCCACTAGACCAGGTTGCTTTAAGCCAAGTCCAGCCTGGCCTTGAGCAATGCTAGGGATGGGGCGCCCACAGTTTCTCTGGGGAACCTGCTGCAGTGCCTCACAACCCTCACAGGGAAGAATTTCTGCTTTATAGCTAACCTAAATCTATCCTCTTTCAGTTTGATGCCATTTCCCTGTGTCCTACCCCTTGTTCTATCGCTACAGGAATAGTTACTTGTAGGGCCCCTTAGATTCTGGAATCAAAGGAAGCAATGCCTTTTCTGGTGGGATGGCAGAGAAGGGCTGCAGACAAGAGTGTTTGCACATGCAGGATCTCCTGCTTCTGGAGTTATGCAATTTGGAAAATAATAACTGTAGAAATAATTGGTGGCAGGTTGCTTGGCTGTGGTCGGTGGCACCAAAGAAAGGATTTTCCAACAGAAGTGCAGTTTCTACAGCCTCTTTAGGAGCCATGCGCCTCAGCCTGCAGCTTTTGGCACAAAAATCACAGCAGGGGCGAGAAGGCACCAGCCTCTTTCTTTTCTGGCGGAGGGACACATCGCTTTAGGGACGACGCAAAGATCTGCGAGGTACGTGCGAAGTGCGGCGGTCTGGGCGGGGCGGAGCGGAGCGGAGGAATTCTTCCCGCCACCAGGGGCTCTTCTCGCCGTGGGGCAGTCGGCGCGGTGGGTTCGGTGGTTGTCCCCCGGGTCGGTGTGAGGGGCGAGCCCTGCTTCTTAGGGTTCCCAAACGAGAGGGTCCTGGTCGGAGGCAGCGGGGTGCCTGGCAGGCAGAGCCCAGGGAGGAGGCAGCCTCCGGAGAGGGCGGGCAGCCGGGCTGAGGGAGACCTCCGCGCTCCTGGGGAATGCAGCTAGAGGAGGTACCTCACGGCGGGTCGGGGCGCTGAGAGAGGGAAGCCACCCTGCTGCAGGGACGGAATTAAAAATCCTTTAAAATAAAAGCCTACAAGAGGTTGTACAAAGCGGGAAGGAGAGACGGCTTTCCTGCCGGTAAAACTTAGAGAGGAGAGAGAGAGCAGGGTTGCTGTCTGCCAGAGAGGTGAATCACCTCAGGGGCAGGACAGAGGGGTCCTGTCACCTGCAGCAAGGGGGAGGGAGGCGAAAACACCACAAGCCTCAGGATTCATTTGCTCTCAGCACTTCACAAGTATATCCCGCAGTCGCAGGAGGGTTTCTTGCCAAAATGGGTTTTCCTGTGCACTTACAGAAGTAAACCTGTCAAATCAGGAATGCCACTTGATTCTTTAATCATGCAGCCCTGGTTAACAAATTAATTCTGTCAATTACATACTTCATGAAACGTTTTGAGAGCCTTCCTGTTGGCTGGCTGAGGTCACCTCAGCACGGTGACTGGGTTGTTCAGACATAGTGGTGAACCAGTCTGCTGCAAGTATAATAAATTCCCTCAATTTATGAAATCTCATTTTGCGCAAATTATGTTCTACACACTGGGTAGATCAATTTTTAAATGGAATTGCTGAGTGCACTTGACTTGAAGAGACATGTGCTTCAGCATCAGTACGTTTAACGATCAAGATCTGTGCCTGGGACACCGCTGTTTCTTTGTGTATGGGGATACAATCTGATACAGTGTTTTGTCATACCAGGGGACTTCTGATATACTTGCCTCCACTTCCACATTACAAATTATCACACAGTGAAGACAAGATTGTCAATTTCTTTCAGCTTTTAACAAGAGTCCACTCCCCAGATCCTGAAGAGTTCATCAGTGGGCTTTATTTTCTTGGTATTTGTTCACAGTGTTAATTTTTGGCAAAAAACCAGTGTGACAAATGCATGAGAAATGCACTTAATCTCTTTTAACTTGGCGACACAGTAAAATTATCACCCGTTTTAATTTTGCATAACCTTGCAACTTTAGTAAATTACTTCTATCTTAAATTCTAGATCTTGGTTTTAAATGTTGTTCAGTGATCCTGCTTTTTTCTCAGGCCTGGAATGTATGCGGAACAAATATCAGTGTGATAGTGGGTAGATTATAGTATTACTGACTTTGTGTCCTGTACACTTTGGTATTCATTACAAGATCATTTATGCCTAATACTTTAATATTTCTTTAATTTTCAGGACTGCCTTGGGAAGTATGGAGCTTACATTAGTGAGCATGGAAAGTACATGTTCTGAAAAATTTTTTTCTGCAACGTCAGATGAAACTGAATGCTACCTATACCCAAAGAGAATTAAAATAGAAAGTAATCAAAAAAACATAGAGAAAGAGGAGCAGCAAAAGCTAGAGCAAAGCACACATTGTGTGAACAGATACCAGACATCACCACATGAACCTGTATGTTTATCAGAAAGGCAGAACAACTGGGCATTACAGAAGCAAAGTTGTGACACAAGAAAAACTTGTACGAGAAATTTTGTCCATTTTCAAACTTGTAATAATGAAATACTGCCATGTAGTGTATCAGAAAATAAGCTGTCCTTCAAAAAATGCAGTTCTGAAAATGAAAACCAGAGTACTACAGAAGATGGCATTTCATTGAATGTGCGTGGACAGCCTCTCAAAATAGAGTCACTCAGTGTATGGAGTGATGCCAACACTTGTAAAAGCCTGCAGGTACTAAATCCACCCCAAGTGCAGCGGAACAGCAATGTAGGACAAAACAATACAAGAAAGAGTGAAAATGAATTCAAACAAAATTCTTCAGTTACACCCTTAAACAGAGACTCATTTCAGATGGAATTGTTAAATCATAAGTCTGTCTTCGATAAAAAGTGGAAACAATACCAGCTCCTGCAAATTCCATTTTTATGTGGTACCAGTTCTGTGTTTTCACACATAGAACATGAGAAGAATAATTTTCTGGAAAAAGTGTGTTCTATAGAAGATAAATATTACTGCAGTAGTGATAATGAAATCACTGCAGAAAGAGAGAGTAAAGAAAAAAATCTTTCCTCATACTCCATTCCAACATTAAAACCCTTTAAAAGTATACAACCACTGGAAATCCCCAGTTTTCAACTTCCTTGCATTTCAAGTAAAACAAATAGTGAAACAATATCAACTCTCTTAAAGGAGACAGACTGGAAGAATTTTCAAGCCCAACCATCTTTGGTACAGTCTAAACAGATACACAGTGTACAAAAAATATCTGAAATAGAGAAACAAGAACTGAAAAATTATAAAAGTACTGTAAAAGCTTCAACTGTTGGTTCTGAACTTGGGGAAAATAATTTCCCACCAATTAGCAAACAAGAGCACAGTGCTTTGGCAGAAGGAGGAAGAGTCTCTGTAACTTACTTCAGAGGCGATGGCACTAATATTGAATTTAATCAGACACTTGCTGAAAATGAATTCAAAGATCAACTGCTGGAGAATTCAGAAGGTGATGATGACCAGAAGTCAAAGATTCACATTTACATTAGTGCTAGAAATGTTCAGAATAAGAAATGTGTTAGCAGTAATGATCTTTTGAAAAGAACAGGGAGGAAGAGCATTAATGAGAATGCGGGAACATTTCATCATATACAGACAAGTATTCCAGTAATAACAGAAGTGTTAGAGAAAAGTAAGTTGGATATAGACTGTGATGGGCATAAGTCCAACACTGATGTTAGTTTCTATGAAGCAAAATCACAACTCTCTACAAAAGACATACTTTATTTCAAAAGATACTCAACTAAAACTATGATATTTGAAAGGAATTGTTGTCGCACTATTGCACAGAATTTTCCAGTTATGAAAGTGAGTTGCAATATATTTAGGGGAAAGGAAATGTTAAAATTGAAGCTTTCATTTCAAAACATGTTGTTTGGATGGGTCAGGACTTGGCCTGAATCTCCATACAAAGATATGCCCATGTGTCAGGATTACAGTGTTACACCTGGGTTTCATTTTCATGAAATATTAAACAAGCACTGTGATGCTCAAAAGTTAGTAAAGAGCAATATAAATAGGAACCTCAACAATAAAATACTCATTTGTTTGCTGGCTATTATTTCAAAGCATTTTAAGGTTGAAGCAATTCTTGCTTCCTTTCTTAGTAGCAGAAATACACTAGAAGAAAAGTCCATGCAAGTGGAGAAACAGCCTTTATGTGAGAGAAAACAAAATCAGTTAAACTCATGCACAGATAATGCTTTGATGGAAAACACAGAATTTTATAAAAAAAAAGAAACTTATCCAGGCTTTTTAAATTCCAAATCCATGGAAAGCATTGGTTTTGCCTTTCATAATGAATGCCAGAGAAGACATTTTTCTACATCTTTAGGTGAACAAGAGTCTACCATCCTAAAACGAGGAACCCTCTTTCATGACCAAAAAAGTGGATTGTATAAGAGAAGACATGTCAGAAAGCACCACCTCTTACCCAGGGAGAGTGAAAGGCTTAGTACCTATTTGAGGTCAGTCAGTCACAAAAATGGTATGAAAAAGCAAATTTTAGTTGCTAAATGTGTAATCTTGTTGAAGGGTGCTTTTGATTGTTCTTCACTGGACAAGATGTATTGCTGCAATATCACAAAAGTACAACATCTGATAGGAGCAAATCTTGGATTTTGGAGCTACTTTCCTGCCCATTCAGAACTAAAATTCACAAAGGTAAATCGTAGCTGTGCAAATTGGGAAATACCAGTAAAGCAGGAGAAGAAACCAAGTGAAGTGTTTAATACTTCTTTTCATAGGAAAGTATTTAAACCTTTCGCTTTTGCTCTATGTGAAACTAAGAAACATGAAACAATTGAATACAGAACCATCATGACATCTACAAATGAGGTCACAGATGAAGTCATGTATACTATGAAAAAATACTTGGACACTTCTGGTTATATAAATACTGACAGAAAAGAATATATTAAGTCAGAAGAATTGCAAATAAATTATCATAATTTTCTTTCAAAAAAATCTTTCTCTGTTTTTGACACATATGAAAAAATTCCCCTTACAACTGATTCTGAGGAGTTTGACCAGTTTGTAGTTGTAAACCATGACAATTCTGCCAAAAAAGGGTTATTTGAAGAAAATCCAGTCACCAGTTCAGAAAAGGTTCATAATTTGCCGGCTAAATTAGATGATGTTTTAATTCTACCTGAGCAGTCAAAACCAGCCATGGAAAAATGTAATTCTTTCTTGTTACAAGATAACCAACCTGAATCTTGCAAGCAAATAGATACATATAGTCCACATTTAACAAACAAAGAAGAAAAAGTAGAAAACCAAAATACTTACTTAAATTTTGAAAAATTATTTCCTAGTTCCTCAAATGTTTATCTGTCTGTCACTTTGCCATTAGACAGCAGCTGTTTTGTCAATAATGACAGAGTAGTAAGTGAAGATGGACACTGCAGGAATTCCTCAAGTGCAGACAAACGAAAACAAAGTGAAAAAAATCCTGCTGCTACTCAATATCCAACCATAGAAAGTCCTGCCATGGCAGATACACACTTGCCATTACTGGCTAAAGAAATGGTGCAGTTTTCCTTGCAAGGGTATACACAGACAAAGGAAACAGCCAGTTCAGAGCCAGCAACTTTGGAACAACATCCTGAATATGTAAAAGAACAGGAAAAGATAAATGATGAACAAATGCATGTAACTAATGAAAGTCAATGTGAGACTGTAATGAATGACTTGATTATTTCATATTCAGAAGATGAAGCTAAAACATTCATTGCTGCAGAAGAGAAATTAGAAATGCATTTATCCGTAATAAACAATGGATCTCTTGAAGATGTAAAAGATCAGTATTTACCTTTAGAAAATAAAATAACATATGAATTTGAACTGAAGAGAAAATTTGATTTAGTGCTAGAAGAGCTACGTATGTTTCATGAAATTAGCAAGGGAAATGAAAACACTTTATCTAGTTTGGAAACAAACTCACACAACAATTATTGTGAATTAAATAATTCTGAGGGGATAGATGAAAAAGTGACAAGTGTTTCTCCTACAATCTGTGGTGCTATAGAAGGGCAAAACATAACTGACAGTAATGGAAGCTCATTAAATGAAAAGATGTCAAATGAAAATGAAGATCAGAAAACATCTGAGGAATGTTGTATTTCAACAGTGTCATCTGAAGAATTGCTACATTCACCTGCTGCAGAAGGTAAGCACAAAGAACTATTGGTTATTATGCTAATAAGAAAATTTAAATTTTATGCAATATTTGGTTCGCTGTAAAGGTGTGTTCCTCAAATAATTCTATGACAATAACAGAGTTTTCATTGAAATGCAAAAGGTTTGTTGGACCAAAGGTACTTGTCTGTGAATAGCCAAATGCAAAAAGCCTATGCTATTGCTGCATGCCTGCACACTGTGCCATAGCAGTTGTAGCTCAGAATTCAGTCAGCCAGTTTCAGGCTTGCTCAAACCTATCTTAATAAAAATGCCATTACAGATTATTTCTTTTGTCCTTTATTTCATCCTGATAAGCCCTAAAATCCCTGAAAGAGTCAAAGACTCAGTAAGCTCATTGAATCATAGAATCATAGAATAGTTAGGGTTGGAAAGGGCTTTAAGATCATCTAGTTCGAATCCCCCTGCCGTGGGTGGGGACACCTCACACTAAACCCTATCACCCAAGGCTCTGTCCAACCTGGCCTTGAACACCTCCAGGGGTGCACATTCATAGAGAGAAAAGACTCCATTAAAACCTGATATAGTATTCACAAAGGAGACAACTGTTTCCTTACAACTGATGTAATCAAATAATAGAGTCATAGAATAATTTGAGTTGGAAGGCACTTTTGAATTTCACCTTGTCCAACCCCCCGCTGCAGTGTTGCTCAAAGCCTTGTCCAAACTAACCTTGAACACTTCCAAGAACCAGTTGAATGCTGTACCTTCTTTTACAGATGGCTCCTGTATGATAAATAAATTATTCAAGTGCTTTTCCAACAGTGCTCGTATTAGATTTTGTACGTGAAATTCAGTTTGCAGAAGTGATGGGTTCTCACAGCTGCAGATAAAATCAATAAGAGATATGCTTTGGTCATATTTGGTGAAATACCTGATTAAAATACAGCCATCTCAGATTTGGCATCGAAATAAATTTCTCAGGGAGTTGGCTCTAAATGTATTAGGTGCGGATTGCAGGGGGTTTATGAAGGTAATTAGTGTTTGTGAAATGATTGGAAAAGTGTCACAGAAAAGCCCTAGAGGGAGTTCTCTTCAATGGAGTTTTCACAGTAGAATGTGCTGCAAGTTACACCTGAGTGCCTTGTCCCAGAGAATGAAAACCTAACAGATACTGGATAAGTTGCTCTCTCAGTGATTGCTTTCCTGCTGAAGTGTGGAATAAAGATCCAAGTGGAGAAAAGTACATGTCATCAGAGGATTAAAACTGCATCATTTAATCTATGCAGAGATCTTCCTGGGATGCTTGGATAGCTTTTGACAAGCACCTCAGTGTAAGGCTTCCTAGCTTCATTAATATTTCCTGTAAGATGCACATACACCTTTTACATCAACAAGAAACACAAATTGCTAACTAAATGAAACAAACAATTATTTGTTTATGGAAAATAGTTACAATCTTAAATGTATTTCTGTTTCTGTTTTAAGGCTATTATGATACAGCTTATAGAAAGCCATACACATGGGACCCTGCTTTTTTATCCTGCATGCATCTTAAGGACCAAACCTGTAATTTACAGAAAGAGGGAGGTAAGAGTAATATTACACTGCTCTTTATACCACAAATACCAGTGCTAATAAACTTGTTTCTCAAACATTTGTATTTGTGACTCCTCTTTATAACTTTCTCTTTATAGCAATCGCATTTTGTTTAATTGTAGGTTACTAGGAAACTGTCCTATCTTTGGCTTGGGTCACAGAGCAAGTCATGCAGATGAGAGGTTTTGTCCTTTGGATAGAAGAAAAGAACTCCTAACAATGTGGTGTTCCTTGTTTGTTTTGTTTTGTTTTGTTTTGGTTTTTTTTTGAGCCATTTTGAACAAACCTCTTTGGGCCTTCAGTCATTGTGATATAGTGAAGATACACTACCAGGAGAATGTGATTTGATATACCTTTCTTGGAAGATTTGCACTTTTGGATATACCATAGAAAGAAATTCAGAAGGATATTGCCAATCAATTTATTAGTACTTCAGAAAGCATGATTTTCTTTTTTTTTTTTTTTTTCCCTAACACTTGAAAATGTTTAGTAAAACAAGGCTATTGGTTTATTTTGCAATGAAATACTAAAACATTGTAAGGAGAAGGCTATAGATAATTTCTGTTTCACTAAACCAAATCTTGATTATCGCCTCTTGCACTTCTTAAAACTGATGCATGCTTTGCTGTTCTCAGAATTCAGAAAGTTGTTTCCTTCATTAAGGCCAGTCTGTGAAATGAGGAGACTGAAAATCCTGAACATTTACAGATTACTTCTTGTGTTCTTACCTATTTTATATTGAAGATATGTCACCTTTTGATAATATATACCAAATGCAAACTGCTACAGAGAATTCTGCTCTATGTTTTTCACTGCTTATCACTATTTGTCACAGTTTATCATGGCTCTATAATGTGTTCGGGTTTTCTTGGTGTTTTTTGTGTTTTGTGTTTTGTTTGGTTTTGTTTGTTTGTTTATTGGGTTGTGTTGTGTTTTATTTTGAGCAAGTGGATTCTACTTTCTGACTTTTGTAGTAGGTGCTGATATTGCTTAGAGAAAATTCAAATTCCAGAATGCTGTGGTGTGCATGACAGCACAAGGTAATTGATAGTAACATCTTGTTCTTGGAAGTTTTGTTCAGATGGCATTGAAACTTGCTAGATGGAAAGTTGTAGCTCCTGCAGAAGATCAGAAGATGACTGAATCTGGATTATCTTTCCTTTCTTCTTTTCCTGTTTTCAGCCATAGCACTAAGGGCAAAGAAAACCAGATTATTTTCTCCACAGTGGTAACTATTCCCTTCACATTGCTTCCTAATATTTTTTAAATTCCCATCTGAGCTTCTCCAGAAATCTTTGGAAGGCAGCCTTAGCAATGACAGGCTTCTTTTTATCCCATGATTACTGATAAATCTTGCAGGTTTCTTGTTTATTTCTAAGGCATTCTATACCTTGTTTCAAGAGCTTTATCAGAAGCAACAGGTATCTAATATACTTACAGTAGAAGAATGTGAAAAAATGCAACATTCCTCTCATCGTCATTCTCATCTGATAGCAAATAGGGAACTGCTGAGCATCTTTTTTTCTAGGAGGTACATTGCCTCTTTGCTGTAATCTGTGGTTGGCAGAGACAGTTGCCACTGAACATTGTTTTAGAGATTATTCTGAAGCAAGGACTATAGCTGGCTTTGTCACAGGGAGTATTATACTGTACTGATAAGAGTTAATGTCAGAAGTTTTGCTGATGTTTGGCTGTCTCCCTCTATTTTTCAGTAGGATTCTAAGCAATCACATGTGCTCTTGTATGATTAGGGTTGGTTATTTAGCTTGGATATGAACACCATTTCTGCTATGGAATCCAAGCCTGTTAATTTTGCCAGTTTACTTGCCAAAACTCCATGTCTTAATCCAGCATATTACTCCTATAGTTAGAAGATAGGAGGTAGTGATTTTCTGCTTAATCGTACCGATGAGTTCTTTGATTTACATCCCAGGATTTGGTCACATGAAGTGACTGTTGCCTTAGAAACTGATTGTTTTGGAAAGGAGGAGATACCTAGGTGGGACAAGAGGATTTATACTTCAGCAGTTTTACAGTTCGTCATGACTGATGACTGTACTTTACTGGCTACATATAAACCCATAACACTTGACTGTCTTTTAGTGCATGCAGTTCCTCTTCCAACTGACTCTTCCGAGTCTTACAAAAGGTATCTCAGCTCTACCATCTCATCATTGACTTAAGAGTTTTGGGGTTGTTTTTTTATCCCATAATTTCAAATTCCTGTGAAAGGCTTAGATAATTTTTTTTTTCTCCCTTTAGTAGGATTCCAACTGAATGCTTAAGGTTCTAATGGGCTCACTATTTGATATCTTAGCTAATTGCTCAATGCTTCATCATTTCATAGAATAATGGAAAATTGAACTGGAAAAGATCTTGAAAAATTTGACACTTTCTTGTGGGATTGATTATTGCTTCTTCTGGATGATTTATTGTCCTAATCTCTAGTTTACAAGGTCATGGTCTTCAGTTCTTCCCCACTGAGTGTATTATTTTATGCAAAACAGAACAGCTTCTAAAGGGTGCTGAATCATACTCCAGATTACCAGGTGGTGCATACCTTACCTAATAGGTTGGAACTGATAATCCACATCCTTCTGCCCCATTTTCTGTAAAATGAGTGGCACAGGGCAAGGCATCATGATTATTATCACCAGTAGAGTGATTCCTGGCTCTGTAATTTAGATTTGTACATCTAAATCCCTCAGACTAGTGGTAAGTATTAAAGCATATTCCTCTCAGTATGTCTGCTCTGTCCCAGAATGGTAATGTGCAGCGTACTGTATGCTTTTGCCAGTCTGTTATGAAAGTTAGGTAATGTTAGGCCAGGAATCCTTCTGATCAGAAGTAATCTAATGTTAGCATTTCAATTTCAACCCAAAAGAAAGTCAGATGCTACACAGCTGAACCAAATGGAAAGGAAATAGAAGCAGTCAAAGACTGAGAAGCTGCAATTAATGTTAATGTAATTTATGTAACTTTGTATTTCATGTGGAATTCTGGGTTTACCTTCACTTTTTATTTGTCTTTTTTAATATAGGATACTTTCTGTCACATGAAGTTATAAGAGTACAGCCTCTTAAAACACGCAAGGGCCCTATCAGGATTGGACTGTCAAGAAAAGCTAGGCCCAAACAGCAGCTTCATCCTTATCTGAAATGATACCGAATTCTTTTACCAGCCTTCAAATAGAACCAGTCTGCTTGAAAACATCTGAAATGCTTTTATGTTCAGTGTTTTGGTTGATGGTTTGATCTTTGTGGTTTATGGTATTTTTAGACATTAATATCACAGTGTTTGCTAGTGATTTATTTAAGAATACTCCTGTGAATACTTGATAGCAAAGGGATTTATAGTGAATGTTTACTAGTAGAAGTTTTAATGGAAATATGAAACCCTTTTAAAGTTTATGTATTATTAATAAAATCTGACATGTATTTTTCATCTATTAAAATATACAGTTGAAATTTTCTGTTGTACTCAGATGTTCTTAGAATCCTCTATGAATTTATATGGTTTTAAAAACTTAATTAGTATTTTTAAAGAGATTGGTTACTAATGTTTAGAGAAGGGTAGGAGAGAATTTCAAGAAGCCAGGTTCAGATTACTAAATAGGACGAATACATTGGAGGTCGTTTCCCTTGAGGTACTTTTAGTTCCATACACTTGTCTCATTAGACAAAGGAATCCCTTGAATTTCAGTGCAGAGCTGGAAAGGAGGAAACATATAAATGCTTCAGACAGAATGCCTTATTCTGAGGGCACTGATTCTGCTGCACACAACATGACAGCAAAATACCAGCACAAGTTCTGGGGCTATATATCTTAAAAAAATGGGGAAACTTGGGCTAATCTGAAGCATACAGCTATTGGTTAGGGACATCTGCTAATGATAGTTAATATACTGATATTTGCGTTATCTGATAAATCCATTTTTAGCCAAACAAGAGCACAGCAGGAAATAAACATGGGTCAAGTCTGGAAAAAAAATAAATCATTGAGTGTCAGAGCAAGAGTAATCCAATAACAGATATCATGATGAAAACTTGAAATCCTCTATGCAATTGCTCAAATGTTTTTAGAAAGTATTTTACATTGCAGTGGTTGAAAATTTCCATATAGCAAGCATTACAGAATACTGACAGAGTAAGCTTCAGTACAAATAATAACACTTGATTTCAGCTGACCCCAGGAAAGCTGAGCAAGCTGAATTGATAGGGCTATATGCCTATAGATTAGTTATTCTTTAGAATCCATGGCAACAGTGCAAAGATTTAGCTGCAACATTCGGAATATGTCATATACAATAGTAAATATATCAGTATGCTTATCCTATAGGAAAGGATTATCCTATAAGCAAAGCAAATTCAGTACACAATGCGGGGTACACAGAGGTGGGATGGACTCACCTTTGGGCACGTTCACCACCATCAGCAGCCATCTTGGTGTCCTGAAGGGTGACTTGGCATAAAAATCAGTGGGGAGGAGCCTGTGGATTTATGACTGGTAGCAATCCCAAAATGGCAACTGGAGGTCATTGCTTTGTCTTCCTCATACTTAATTTTGGTCCTTGTAAGCATGAGATCTTTAGATTTTATCAGTTGTAAAAAAAGAATCAAGGGGTGCTGGTTTCTCAGTGTTCTGGCAGAAGTATCAGCTTACGTTTCTCTGAATCCCAGCAAGCAGCAACTGATCAAAATTCTTCAGCTAAGTGTTCTTTATTGTGTACCTGGCGCAAAACAAGGAGAGCTGTCTGTAGGCATCTGAATGTCCCCTCCAGGAGGTTTGACCTCACAGCCAGGCAAAGAGTTTCTTGAGTGCTGCCCAACATGAGCTGGCTTTCAGGAGTGATATCTTACCAGGTAGCTTATATATCTCATATTTGCAATGGTTGAAGTTTACAATAGGAGGATTTTTTACAATGTGGGACCTTACAGATCATATAGTTCCACCCTCCCTGCCATGGGCAGGAACACCTTCCACTAAAAAAGCCTCATCCAACCTGGCCTTGAGCACTGCTAGAGATGGGACAGCCACAGCTTCTCTGGGCAGCCTGTGCCAGTGCCTCACCATGTTCACAGTAAAGACATTATTCTTAATATCTAATCTACCCTCATGCAGTTTAAAGCCATTCCCCTTGTCTTGCCCCTTCAGGCCACTATCAAAAATCCCTGTCCATATTTCTTTTTAGCCCCTTTTAAAGTACTGAAAGACTGCTCTATGGTCCTCCTGGAGCCTTCTCAGGCTGAAAAAGCCCAGCTCTCTCAGATTGTTTTCATAGGAGAAGTGCTTCAGACATCTTTGTGGCCTCCTCTAGACTTGCTCATTGGGTCCATATCCTTCTTATCTGGGGGCCCCAGAGCTGGGTGCAGTACACCAGGTGATCTGCTATGTAAACTTTTGTTTGTTGGTCATGCAGTCAAAGATAGCTGCTTAGAGGAGGCTATAATCTTAAATAATAGAGGAAGCACTGGCACTGAGAATGCAAGACTGGCCTTTGGCCAGCTTCAGCTTCCCTAGCCCCTGTGGGCTGGAAGAGCTTAGGTTCCTTGTAATGCCGGAGAGAAGCACATGAGTGTTGCCATCTGTGTACGTCAACAGTGTAAATTGGCATTGTTACACTGGGTTTTGGAGCTGTGCAGGTGTGTGCCAGGCAAAGACCTCGCCATGTGCCTTTGAATATTTTATTGAAGAAATGTGTATAGATTTTGAATTTTTTCACTGTAGACACAGTATCTGGTGATATGTTTTCAGATAGCTAAGCTTAGTAACGCTGACTCTAACAGAAATGCATACGCAAAGTGCCATTATACTTTAATAATTATGCAGAAAAGCTTAAATATAATTTCCAAATATTTTTTTGTCAGCTGTTAGAACAATAGATACAGCTATGGTTTATTTTATACAAAAGGATTCAATTATAGCCTACTGAAAGCCTTGAATTCTGTTATATGTGATTTTTTAATAAATAGTAATTTAAAGTTTCTTTCTTGTCTGCTTTTCGAATGACTAGATGCAAAGCTAACACTGCTCAGGGTATTTTGGATAAATATGCATGATTAATAAGTGAACAAAAGCAAGATTGTTGAAATCCACCTGAATAGTAGAAGTATACCTATTGCCTCTTCCAGGGAGTTGAATTGAAACAGGTAATGAAGCCCAGTTACACCTTCTAGTGTTGGAAGACAGTTTCCAAATGAGAGCAGACAACAAGCATTTGAGGGAAGGCATCAGAGAAAGGGCTGGAATACTGTATATTGTAAAAGGTTCTTCATCAAGAAAGATCATACCAGGGCATTTTATGAATATGTGTTTCTGGGAAGTTTCATGTAGTTAAGGGTGAGATCAGCTTTTGCTTTTACTATTCATATCCAGTTTTAATCTTAACGTTCTGCTCTCAACATGGACATCTCGCCACGTTATTCCCACACACCACTAGAGAGCATACCTGCCATTGCCCCTTGCCAAAGTTGCTTTATCTGCCATGTTCCTCCTGGGCCATCAGCAGAGCATTTCTAGCAGCATGAGATAAACTCAAAATTAGTTTTAATAATACTGGGGACAACTGAAAGTTAATTTTGTTCAAAATTATTTCTTCCGAGTATGATTCAAGTGAAATTCTAAATAAGGAAACTAGTTGTCTGTTGACAGTCTGGGTGATAGATGAAAGGCTTACAGCTGCCTATGTGAAATGCAGCAGTTTAACATTTACAAGTTGTGATTAATTTCCTAAGCAAAATTATTTCATCATGATTTAATAAAGTAAGCAAAGGAAACAGTCATCTTATAAAATATATGGTACCATTTAATGGCTGAGTTAGTGCTAAGATGGAAGAGACTAAGTATGATATCTAAAGAGAAGTGAATCTTCCATTTTGTTATTTAACATTTTCCCTTTCAAGGCCCCTTGAATTATCAAAATATTTTTAGCCAGGAGTCATAATGAAAATTCAATCCATATTATATTCAGTGTATGCACTAAGAAAGATGCCTAGACTAATTCTCTGCTAACATACTTTCTGTCAAAGATTGAATATGCAAAAATATTCAAAGCCTACCAAAGAAACTTGAAAAATAAGTGCATCAGCATGGATATGGATACCTGTATAACCTACCAGGTTTTAAAGTGCAATCAAAATGCATTCTCATTAACAGTGGCATTTTGGATCCTCTAATGCAACTTACTGGCATGGATGTATTTTCCAGCTTGAATAGAGGTTATGACTCCATGTGGAGGGGTGGAAAATGGATTGAGTTGACCTGGGAGACTCCAGCCAATGCAGTAAGGTGGGCTCTAAGATGACCTGAGTTGCCCAAAGATCTTACAATTAATTTTTTATCTTTAATTCATTTATAGCTTATGACTATCACATTTAAAGAAAGCAAAATGACAAAAAAAAAAAAAAAAGCTTTTCAAAGAGAGCAATCTTTACTTCTACACTGTAGATAAACTAATATTTTCTACTGCAATTTTGTTTGTTTGGAGGAGTATGCATGAGTGAAGGGATGGGTTGCACATATGCAGCAGGCAGGGAGCTGTCCATGGGAAAGGTAACGTCCTATGGACTAGTCTGAAGATAGATCTTGAGTTTTATTCTTCTCTTCCATTCCAAACATTCCCACACTTTTTGGAGCAGACTTTTCCTTGAAAAAATGAGCAGTGTTTTATGCGCCATTGGAGGCAGCTCCTTGTGCCCTTATCTCGTGTATCAGTTTTTTCTTCTTTCTGCCTCACCTTCTTCTCTTTCCATACCTGCTTGTATCCTAGAATTTGCTGAGGTTCTGCAAGCATGGTGGAAAGCAACTAGAGCGGGGCTTTCCTACAATTAGCCTAGCTAGAGCAAAATATATACCCTTGGGCTTGCCAATGTTCACCTCTTATATGCTTGTGCAGCAGAAGTACATCATAACTGTCCAGGTGTGGTGAACCACTGGTCTTGTCTGATATTTTCATGGTTGGAGATATTCCTTGGCAATGGTTACGTGCTGAATTGTCTTAGTATGCCTCTGACCACATTTCTGTAAGCTGTGTCAACCCTGGCAGTTCTGAGATGCCCAGCTTTGGAACAGTTAGCAGGAATGGTTGTAAAAAAGCTGGTAGTGTTAGAAATCGACAGTTTCCAGGAACCTATGGAGTGTGATGGTCAAACGAATTTGAACATGGTATTGATTCCCTGTGAGGGTGGTGAGGCATTGGCACAAACTGCCCAGAGAAGTTGTGGATGCCTCATCCCTGGCAGTGTTCAAGGCCAGGTTAGATGGGGCTTTGAGCAACATGGTCTAGTGGAAGGTGTCCCTCCCATGGCGGGCCATTGGAACTGGATGGGCTTTAAGGTCCCTTCCAACCCAAACCTCTGTCTGATTCCACGGTTCTGTGATTTTGGAACCAGTATCATAGACTGCCATGAAAGTTAAGATGTAACTCTTCCTCCCTATGAAATAAGTATTTGTGGATAATCCTATGCTC